CCTGTTGCGTAGTTCGACAACTTGAGTATAATTCGATATCGAAGATCATTAAGGCGCCACTGTCGTCGACGCGACGAAAAATTTAAAATTACAACGACTAAAGTAGTACCATTATTTTCGTGGTGGGTGGAAACTTTTTGCGCGGGTGTTCGGTGCGTCGCGAACGGTTTCACGGGCGAAACGTGTTTAGAAATTTGTGCGTCGTATTCCTTGGAACGCTAAAAGTTCTAAATAAAGCTCAAAGGTTACGAAAGCTCCTGGAAATGCAACGCAGCCTGTTATTACTTGAGGATAACGCGTATTCGTGTACGGGGGAGGAACGCGGGAGAAGCTGATTGGCAGATTACGTTTCATAACTGACGGGAATAGTCGGTCAATCTAGATCGGCAATTTTCAAATTTTGCCGGCAGCTGACAGTTTCAGTAGAAATTGCTTACCGGCAACGAAAGGATCCGGGCGGTTTATATCGTTTCATTGATTTTACAACCGGGTACCGTGAAATTGCTCGCTGCTGGTAGTGTAAACTTTACGGTGATAGATCATCCAGAGGATACTGTCGACAAAAGGTTGGAGATTTCTCCTTAAAAAATCAGAAGAGTTTTCCACATGCTCTACTTCGAAGGTAAGATGCTCATTTTGTGTCTACTACTCTCTTTCAATTTATTTTCTTAATAATCGAATGTACGACACGAGTGTATGAATCGTTCAAATGGGGTATGTCAAAAATAATGGCGGTTAATTTGATGGTGATTGTGCTAGGCAACATTTTAGACTTTCTTTTTAAGTGACAAATGTAGTAAATATTGCCTATTAAAATATTTTAGAATTCTAGGCAGGATTTTAATTTCTTTTTTTGAAAACGACAAAGGTTTCTTGATAAATCTTTGCAACGAACATTTGACGTTGAGTATCAGCTTAAAGGTAGATAATATACAAGATAATTCTTAATACAAGAAGTGTTCAATTTGGAAAGTAGGATTCAAATAATTATTTTATACGTTTAAAGATCGGTTATGTTTTTTTGGCGTGCTAAACATGACCTTGAGAGTGTGTCAATAAGTAGAAGGTTAAAACCTTAAGTATGTGGTATCAAGAACGATGACACACAGTGTATATATGCTTTAAGCTTATTGTATGACGTGTTCGTAATCTTTAACGTTATCTTCTAAGAATCTCAATTATAATCGAACATATGCTCAATTCTGCGTATTGAAATTCTGTTAAATTGAGAAATAATAAAAACAACTATTTTACTTATCGATGAATTTTCATTAATAAACGATAAAATGTGCAGGAAAATTGATAAAAATGGTGAAACGTGGAAAAAACATCTAGGAAAATTGTATATTGTAAAAGAATTTAGTAAATATTTAAATTTTACGTATTATTAGTATTAATATAATCGCGAATGTGGAAATCGTAGAAAACTTGAGTGTAGAATTTTAACAGATTTACCTACATTTCGAATGGCAATGTTCCGTGAAAGGTCGATCGATCTCGTATTTCCCTTAAACTTTTGCATTTACCCAACTGTTCTGCCGCGACGTCTTTAAGATTCCAGCTCATTACCTTCGGGAAAGGAGGTGAGACTCGTACCCCGTAAATTGAAAGTCCTCGAGCAAAAAACTCCCCTGCAAAATGACTTTCGCGCGTACCGTGGACGATCATTAATTCAATTTCACTGACTATCTCGTTTAGTAGCGGTGAATTCATGCGGAAAATTCTGTCCCCGTAATTCGTTCTTCGCGAACCCTTTCGATCTATACCTTCGTAAGGAGGAGAATGGTTGTTCTTCGAATAATATTTGTTTGTAATTATTCTTTGAATAATATTCGTTCTAAATATTTTTATTTGAATAATTATTTTGAAACATTTTAATTAATATTACATTACTATCGATTAACATATGTTGCTAATATAGCAATTTCAAGTATGCTTTCTCGATTCAGTTTCAAAATTACAAAATACTATATCTAGTTCCATCGATTAAAATTTCATTCACTCGTGAAAAAGTACAAAACTGCAACAATTTAACATTCGCGACAAAATATTCCGAAGTTGTACCTGAAAATTTACTAGCTTCGGTATAAACCCCTTTAATTTAACCCAGAAACTCATCAGACCGATTACCATCTTCATACTTTATTACAATCGTTGGTAACAAAGTGTTGCCAGATTATACGTCACCGTTACTACATTCGTTCACCGCGAGATTCTAATTACAGCATCAACCTTGGTGCATTCTGAACACGATAGAAAATTCAAACTTCTAATTAGAAATGTTGCAAAGAATAAATTAACCTTTCGGGCTTTCGTAATTCTGCACGACAGTCGATTAACTATTCCGACCGATTAAGCTCGTGTATAATAATATCACGCGCGTTAAGTGCAAGATTGTAAGTATGATAATTATACGTAAATGATAATCGTTGAATGCGTCGACGCAGTAAGATATTTATGATTTGTATGCTTCTACGTATTGGGTACTCTTGCGTTTCTTAAGTGTACGGGGTGAACCGTATAATGCGATCACTATGAATTATTATGCCGTTAGCGGACCGATCGAAATTCTTTTCTCACGCATAATACGGTTCAAAGAGGCTCTTAAGGTGACTTACAGTACTGTCTTTCTTAATTTTTACGGTCAATTTCAGTTTCTTGTAGATTAGTATAGATCATTTTTTTACACCGTGGATTAGAGAGTATGGAAATAAAAATTTGTAGAGAAACTGGTAGTGGACTAATTGGAAATTGATGCAAAATTGAACGATTGTTTATTACATCTAACAGTATCATAGCACAAAAGTTTGTACTTTTTTGTAATATTTTAAATTAAAAATTAAGTTTGGTAATTTTTTTAATATTAGAATGAAATATAATTCGTTATGTATGGATACAGAAGAGAATGTTATTTCACAAATAACATTGGAAAGATATTCATATTTCACAAGTAACATTGCAAAAATATTCACATTTCACGAATAACATTGCCAGTTTCGTACAGATCCTCGAGTAAAATTACGCACAGTAAAGTGTAAAGCGTGAAAAGATGAAAATCTCGAAAAGAAAGGTAAAAAAAGTTTAAGAGGGCGATCTTCACATGAAATTTCTCTTCTGCTGTACTTCGTTCCCTCCTCCTCGCTACCCGTCCATCTCAATTCCAACCCAATAAACATCCTACTCTCATCAAACGATCACACGAATCGTTAATAACATCTACACCCGGAGAATCCATTAAACTCAGCCTCTGGATACCAAACACTCCCCGTTCGAATGCACAACGAAGACCCAGTAACACCCAGCTTACCAACAAACGTCGTTTTTCCAACTGTGGCAACTACCGGTTGTGTGTACGATTGCCACTGTGGAGCAATTGCCCTTAATTCTAAAATAACACTCTGCAGTACTCTCGACGCAGGAAGACAGTCGGTCGATCTGTTATTTTTTCTTTTTATCGTCAGGTTTAAAGTGGCCGAGTGCTGCTATCTCGTTTAAACCGTATTCTCCAGCATTGACGTATAGAGAAGGTAAACGATTTTCTAGGTCGATCAAGCTCGAGGACTTTTTCACTCGTGATATATCAGTCTTTCCATCTTCCTTGTTTGTTCTATTGACTATCGTTTATCTTGGAAAATTTTTCACGACACGTGAGGTCTACCTACCATCGTGTTTCTTTTTTCGCTTTTTTTTTTCCACGTTGTGCGACATATGGTTACGACGTGTCGCGCCATAACGCTGGCTATACTACTGAAAGTTCGACTTCCGCCGCTACGGAAGCGCTGGTTAACGCAGAAGAGGATCGTCTCTCTACGGGATAGCTGAGTATGCGCGCTTGGTTAATAGAGCGTAGTTCGAATTGTAGGTCGAGGAGTTTCTTCTTCTTCTTCTTCTTGTTAACCCCTTGCGTAGAGAGTGGTGTAAGCTCTGTATCAAGTTATGTATGTTGGCGATAGTTGGATCGTTATGTGGAGGGAATTTTTTGTTGTTGGTGGTGTAACTGTGAGAAAGGTGATTTTATGTGAGAAATAAATAAATGAAATTGAGAATCTGGATGTATTATAGTATAAAGGTAGGGAATGTAATGCAGGAGAAGTAAAGATGTGAAGAAATAGGGACATTGAGAAATTAAGAAATTGGGAAATAAAGATATTGAGAAATAAAGAAATTGAGAAATTGAAGAATAAAGAACTTCAAAAATTAGCAAATACAAAAATAAAGAAATGAATACAGTAAATTCTCCACAAGTGTCAGACAGTTTGGATTCTACAAGTGTCAGTCAAATGTAGGGCCGATTCTATAAGTGTCAGTCAAATGTAGAGCCGATTCTACAAGTGTCAGTCAAACGGCAGGCCAATTCTCCAACTGGCAATCAAACGGTAGGCCGACTCTATGTAATGTAATACAGGGCGTCTGTTTTATCTCAATACAGTGAAATATCTGGCGTGACAGTGAACGTGTTAATAAGTAAATGTTCAAATTATGTCGTGTTTGATGTCATTTTCATCAGAAAAATCTCATCAATATGTTAAGAAAAAAACGTAGTCCCTGACTCTACAAGTGTCAGGTTTAGCTTCCTTGCGGACTGACACTTGTGGAGAATTTACTGTAGTTAGGAAATAGGTAATCAAGGAACGAGTGTGAATGACAAGACAAACTGGGGTATGAATGAATAAAGAAATTATGCAACAAGCTATTGTAAATCAAGTCCTTTTCATAGCCATGAAACTGAAAATTAGTAATAATAATGTGGCGACCGCCACGGGGTGGGGGCACGTACTTAGGCCCGGCGACTCTTGGCCCTCGAGGCGAAGAATCGAGAGATGTTTTTCCAAACATCTTCGAGTTTCTTCGTCCTCGAGGACAAGAGTATTGCCTCGGAAATGCAGGCCCGCGCCCCCACTTCCTGGGACTTTCCCAGGGAAAAGGGGCTACTTAAGGGAGCCCCGAAAAAGGCACGAGGCCTTTGGTCGTAGACTTCCTTTCGCATCGTATCGCCTTACATCTAAAATTAGTTTAAGTATTATTGATTGAATAAATATATTTTTGTTACCCACTTTGCAAGTAATCATTTGCACCACGTCACTTCCAAAATAATTTTAGGTTAAGTAAATTTGACCCAAAAAGCGACGTCGGTGGAGCTTAATTTGTCTAATAAAATTTCGTTTTATTGTTCATTTATTTGTTTCTTTGTTAAATTATTTGAAAAATTCAAGACTTCTTGAAAAGTAATATATTACATGAAAAATATATGTTATTAAATATATATACATATAATTCTTGCTTCTTCTTATTGAACTGATACGTTGGATACATGTGTATCTAGATGTAACTCAGAACTAATTTAAACGTACACCTTGGATCTAGACTAGTATAATTCTATTTAACCCAACCCTAACTTCGCTCAATTACACGTAATCTAGATGTGCTTCATCTGACACTAGTTCAAACCTAACCTACCTCTAACCCATCTCTATCTGATCTTGATACACAAACGAACGTATAAGATACAGTTAGCCTACAAACACTCAACTTCACTCTAACCGAAGTGCAATTGGGACATCGAACATCGTATTACATTAGGCACTCTTCGTTGAAAAGGAACCATTTAAATAATTATTTATA